ATGTCCAGCAAGTCTGCCTAATATGCTAAATCCTGTGTCCCAACAAATAACTCTGGTTCACCTGGACACAATGATCCCCACTTCCCCTTTGGCTGCATCTGATTCTTATTAATCCATTAAAAATCTGTGGCTTTCTTCCTCTCCAAACTAATTTGAACTCATTTTCTAAGACATCATGAGACACATCAACTACTTTCTAATAATGCACAGTGTTGGCTCAATTCTGTAATGTGTTTGCAAATGCTATCACACCTGTCGGACATTTCCAGTACTCTCACAGCCTTTTTATTTGTTTATTGGAATGCCACAACCCACTACATGTTTTCTTATTCTTTGTTTACCAAGTGCACAAAGCATCCCACCCCACCACAGAGGGTCAAGGCACTTGATTTCTACCTAGGGATAGACCTCAAAGGCAAGGACGACTGTGTGAGTCGGTGACAGGAAGGGAAAGAAGACACGCTACAATACATCATCATTTGGAATTTGTAGAAATCACTTCTAATTCAAAAGGTAAAATGTTCTTAAAATTAAATATTCTCTAGCGAAACCCTTGAGTAACCTAAATTATGAGTGTCTTCTGTTAGAAAATTTCACTTCAAATTTCTTTCTAAAAGCAGTTACAAAAGAAGAAAAACTAAAAGTCAATCATCACCAAAATTCAGAGCCATTTCACTATCCTTTCTTAAATTAGCTTAACATCCACGGCCGCTGCACGCATGGTCAGTAATAGATGAGGCTCCAACACTGCACAAAATGCCCACTCTGCACAGGGCAGTCTTCTCTTCACTCTGCCTACATCATCTTATTTAGTCTTCACAAAATCCAGTGAGGCAGCTATAATTATCCTCACTTTACAGATGAGAAGCTGGGGATCTGAGAAGATAAATGACTTGCCCAAGCTGGCAGAGCCGGTAAGAGGCAGAGGCAGGATTCAAATGGAGGACTTCAGATGCCTGAGCAGAGACTCTTTTTTTTTTCCAAACCACACTGCCTGCCGAGTTAAATTCCCCATCCTCCATCCTGGCTGCTAGGAGACTCTACCATCTCTTCATCATCATCAATAAATATTTATCAAGGACCACTGCCAATGTAGCATTGCTCTTGTTTCCACAGCAACACACAGTCAGAGAGTCACGGGAGTATCCTGTGTTTAAAAGAATGACGCTCTAATGTCCTCTGATCATGGCTCTGAAAGGTGACAGTTACACTACTACAGGGGACACTGTCTCATCTGGCAGCTGGAACCTGCAGGAGCTGTGCTGAGAACAAGAGAGAAAGAATTAAAAATAGAGGAGAAAGATAATGGGTTGTAAGCCAGGATGGCCTATGTTTACTATGTGTTTGCAAATGTGGACGGAATGGAATCCAAGCTGGGTCCTCCCATTAATTGTTCTTTTATTAGGAAACAAATCACACGATCCAGGACAGAAAGTAAAATCTGACTATACTGCTAACAGCTCCCCAGAGATATCTGGCAGTGATTATTGAGTTAAATGACTACATTACTAACAATCAAAACCTCAAGTCTTTAAGATCCGGTTTTGCTCTCAACATAGATTCTGAGGCCCACGAATAAACGGACTAATTATCCCTCACCCATTTGGTAAACTGCTCCCTCATCTCTTATTCCAAATGGTGTTCTGCTACACTGCTAACGGCTGGGTTTTTTAATTTTTTTTATACTATCGTTTCTTATAAAAATTGTCGTGGCTCATGAAACACGTTAGGGGAAGGAAGAAGGAAACTACCTTCTGATGACAAGCCTCCGCCTCTGACTTTTGTACACCGTGACCAACATGTAAACCTATCCTCCCAACTATGTCCTAGACGTAAGCTTACAAATTGAAATTGCCTTTGAGACTGGGAATCTTCGGATCAAAGGAATATGGAAAACACACTACTGAGTTTTAAAATGCATTATTTACCCAGACTTGCCAAAAGTTTTAAAGAAGACACTTTAATTTTTTTTTTTAAACCAGGGATCGAACTTGGGACCTTGCACGGCAGGCGACAGAACCACTGAGCTAAATCCCTGGCCCCTTAAAGAAGACGCTTTAAAGGAAACCAAGCTATTATCTTATGCACAGTAGCTCTGGATTCTAATACTGCGTTTAGGGATAAAACAAGAGGATAAGTCCATTTTAAAAGTCAACATTTGCAGCACTCCTATATCTACAAATACAGATGTTCATAAAGAAGCCCGGGGCGGGGAGGAGAAAATCTAATTTAAATGATCTAATAAGCATTAAACCATAAAGGAGCGGCTACAGAGAGAAAATCCCCATCTATATATGAAGGAGCCTTAGAATGCACTGAATCGTAACACAAGCCAATCCCATTCCTTTAAGAAGCCCCAGGAACAATCGCAGCCACTTGCTAAATATATGCCCTAGTGGGTTCGCAGAAGCACCCCGCTCAGGTAGAAGGGAAAGAAACATATGGCTCCTTAACGGATTTCTTCCCAAACTGTACTCCACGACTGCTTTTCTTTCCCATGTGTTCCGAAGAGCAAACAAAGAAAAGGTGCTTGCTCCTCACACTTCTCTAAACGTTTTAACAAAAGGCTGCTGAATAAACACATTACTCATTTAAAAATTGAAAAGAACTTCTATTCCTGAGATGAAAGCAACGACATTTGCATTTTAACAGTTGTGGGCGAGCGCCACCTGGCGGCAGCATCCGTGACGGGCTTGCGTTCAGCCGTGGACCGCTTCCCAGAGAACGGGTTTTACAGCTCACTAACCAAGAACGGTGTGAGACCCGCGGTGGAAGATTTTTTTTTTTTTATCCTGTTTTTTGCCGCAGGAACGTGACAGTTGGCCAGCCAGGCCTTGGAGGATAGTAAAATCTGAGTCATAAATCATACCCTAGTCCTCGGGACTGCCCGGACATCCTCTTTTCCTCTTTCCCTAGGACCCCAAAATGATGAAAACAAGAACTGTGCACCATCTTTGGAGTGCTGTCGCGGAGGTCCTCCTCTTTCCCTTACTAATCCAGCCTTTCAGCTTCCCACATCTCAAACGGAGTGTCTTCATCGTCCAACTTCCCGCCCATGCAGAGGAGCTGTCCCTTAGCAGAAGTCGGATGCTCCCTTACCATTTCAGTGCGGAGCCTCTAACCATTTCCAAGGAAATGTCGCCCAGAGGTCCTTCACCCCAAAAGCGGCCCGTTTAAAGGCATTACACTTCCCACAGGTAGATGGGTTCTTCCTTTCTTATAATACAAGGGCACAGCGGTTGCTTAGCAATCCAAAAAGAACCATTTCCTAAGTCCGGATAGCTTATCTCGGCCTGTCCGCTGTCGCCTCAGGAGCCTCAGCTCGAGCCTAGGCCAATGGGTGCCGAGAAACTTCAAGGTGATTCCGAACTTGGAGGTACACCTGCATCACTTCCTCCCTTTCCTCCTTCCCTCCACCACCCTCTCTGGGGGCTCAGGTTTGGAAGCCTCACGCAGTGAGGTTTGTTGATGTCTGAGCCCTGATGTCCTGCACAGGCCACTTACCTGGAGCGCGCACACACAGACACACACACACACACACGCACGCACGCACGCACCGGACGGGAACTGGCTCTGCTCACCTCTCTCCCTGGGCAAACCCCTATGAGTCCCCTGAACTTTGCAGACTGACCCACGGATCAGAGCGACCGGGTTTAAAGGGCCTTGGCAGGGGAGCCCTTTACTTGGGATAAAAGCGTCCGGGTCGGGCGGAGGCGTCGCTGTCCGAGTCACAAGCAGCCCCCTCCCCGCCCCCCCCCGTTACCTTCGGCGGCTTAAGGACGAGCTGAGGGGCGCCGCGTGTTTAGAACAACACCGGAGCTTCCGGTGTCTCTGAGGAGGAAAGAAAAGCCACCGCCCCGACAGGCAGCTCGGCCTGCGGAGACCTGTGCTCCCCACTTCGCGCGCCGCCCGAGGAGCTACGGGGGGA